ATAATGATGTGGTGAAATCTTGGCAAATGAATTTTTGGTTTGTTCGTAAATGATACATGCATTTATTTAATAAACTCTACCAAGGCTTTTATACCTATACAAGACCCATGGGTTGTTTGGAAAAATGAAAGAATCCATATGTATCTTCTGTGTAATGCTTTTGGTAAACATGTTACAAATACAGTAATTTCCCTTTGACTGATAATTTCTTTTAAGTCAATGATTTTATGTCAATGAAAAAAGTGCGTTCGAAGCGGTTTTCTGGATTAACCTTCATCAGGAACGACCAAACCAAAAATTTTAATTCTTGAATATGAGGAGCTATCTGACTTTAAGGGACCTTATAAGGATAGACAAAAATATCCGAGGACTTCTTTTCCTGAGACAGTTGAGACTTAGTTTATTAATTTATCAACGGAGAATTTGAGAAAGCTATATTATAAATCATATCAGTGCAAAAACCACCAGCAGCGGTATCGACCCAGTTCTAGAAAATCAAATGACACTTTATAAATAGGCATCTCCCATTCAGGATTTATCTTTCTCAGAAACACCAAAAACAAAATGAAGAGTAATATGTCGCCAATCACCAAGTGGGTTACACTATATAAATGAACGGCAAAGTATATCCGCACTCAAGAAACAACTTTATATTTGGTGAGATTATGTCAATAGTTATAAAAAAAAGCTTCTCTTAACTTATTTTGTTGTTCTGGGCGGCGCATGATGTTCCTTAAAGGAAATAACGATGGAAAACTGCATAAATTCTGTATTTTTCATCTTTTTCATGAAAACGGTACACATTATGAAATATTGTTCCAAACATTATGTGCCAATTTGAAATAGTTGTCAAACATTATTTTATTTTCTTGGGCCAAAACCGGACCTTAATGTCCCTACTCCTTTCTTAAACCAAGGACATTTTGCTGAGGTTTTGTTCCTTCCTTTTCTTTATTGTAGTTTTATTATATTTGAAAAGGTGTCTTTAAAAAGCTTCTAGCTCGTTGTCTGTCATTAACTTGATATTTCAATTTGAGTTATATAGTTGTTTACAGTATATAATTTTAAAATAAGCTGGTTATAATCTGGAGTATGCCCACATGACACAAATTTCAGCCTTTGAATCATTACCTACCCGGTATATAAAATGATATCTCATTATGAAGCTCATTAATATTATATCAATTTAGATTTAGAAATATGCATTCTCTAGACAAATATAGTCGCTAGTGTGGACAGTGTATAACTTGCAAATTCTTTTTCACACACTTTCCAAAACTATTTCTTTAAATTGCAAGCATGAAATATTTTGTAGCTATAGGGGGATGAAATTACATGTTAAAATTTGGGTGATGACTTTTTAGGTAAAGTAGTGATTTGGTTCAGTTGAAAAAGGTGAAAAAATTAGTATGTCAGAACCTGTCAAACTGAATTATAGACTCCCTTAACATACACTGTCCATATTTTGAGTTAGAGCTGGTAAAATTTTCAATAATTTTGATATAATTTGTACCAAATGCAGTAAACTACACTGTAAAAATCTTTTTGGATAGAGCAGGTGCGTTTTTTTAAATTGAATTTATTGTCTAAAAGCAATGTACTACGGAATAACTGTGTTCTCAGGCCATAATAAGGCTTTATTGTTTAATATGAACTTTACAGTTGAATGACGTACAAATCTTCTTGCCATTAAGTATCTATTCAATCAATATCATTGCTTACATCAATATTGATAGATGGATATTTGCGTGTCTAACGTCCAGTTGAAAATGTTTCATGCATATTTAGTACGAGAAAAAAACATTAAATTAAAAAATTGGTAGTTTTCATTTTTTACAGCACTGGGTCGATACATCTGCTGGTGAACTATCAGTCCCCGAGGGTATCATAAGCTCAGTAGTCAGTTCTTCGGACTGACATGATTTATAACAAAACTTTCTAAAATTGTCCGTTTATAAATTTTGAAATTATAAAGAAACCAAGATTTCAACTCCCTCAGGCAAAGTTGACCTTATGTGGATTTGGCTATTTTTAGGTCCTTTTTTCGGTCATATACCTCTTCAACTGTTTCGGTTCTTATACATCCTTGGCTTTCAAATATTCGGCTTTGAGCGTTCCTGATGAAGGTAAATCCAGAAAAGCCCTTCGAACGCATGAAATTTATTACGCGTTGTTATGGCACTCTCAACGGAGTTGGGGTGACATATCGTTATTCTACGTTTCTTTTTTTCCTATTATTTTTTTTTATTTTTATTTTTCTTCCACTTTTTTTGTCCAACTTATATCTTGGAATTGTATGTACCAATGTTAATGGAACTATACGTTAATAATAACCAGCTTGTGCAGATTTGCAATCGGGGTATGGCATTTTTAAAATGGCTACAGTTTTCATGGATGAAACTTTATGGAAATGTTACCTGGTATGCCTACATGTGCAGACAATATTTAGAAATTCCAAAATGGCCGCCATTGTCATTGGAAACAGGGCGAAAGTTTAACATTGACCCTATGGGAAAATACGGTACTTCAAACTTGATAAAACTTTATGGATATGTAACATGGCATAAACCAATGTGGCATCTGTCTTTGGAATTTTGGAAATGGTGACCGTTACCATGGAAACAGCAAAAATCTCTAAACTTAATGAAACTTTACAACAATGGTCATTGGCATGTGTAGATGCGCTGTTTGACTTTGGAATTTTCAAAATGGCTGCCGTTACCGTGGCAATTTGAGGACGAGGGTGCCATCCGTTATTGCTTGCAATTACAAATCTAGTTTTTATTATTTTCTGCAAGGAAGGCGAACCAGGGATGACATTTGGAATGTTTAATAGGGGCCAGTAATTTTGTCTTGCAAAAATCTACCTATAAACCTAACAGAGAGTTGTACACGGTCCTTACACGTACACATGAGGCATCGGATTTTGATAGTCCCAAATCCGACCGGACCGCACAGCCCAACGGGACAGTACACTTTGGCAAGGGCTTTACAGCCGGACGTTAGAGTTAAAGAATGACATCTTTATGAGTGTGACGTACGAACCATACATCGTCGTACTTTTTTAAACAATCTTTTAAAAAGTGTAACTAATAAATAACGTTAAATCTTGATAGAGGAATTTTAAAGGAGAATCAGTCATAGCGTCTTACTTTTTTCTTGAGTACCCCTACACGAAGTCTTCGTCTAAAGCAAAAAAAAACAACACCAAAGAAATCAAGCGAATGCCGAGGTTTATGTTCTGAAATATCCCGTCTACCACACATAATAGACTCAGACTTAATAATAGACTATAATTACATAGTTGTATTTTAATCATTTCATTTGGTATTATTTTGGGAATAAACATTTATTCTCAAACAATTTGAGTCAAGATTACAAAAACAAAATTCTATTACCGGGTGTTTTTTTCTGCATTGAAATTTTATTAAAAAGTATTCTGGGCTTTTCACTAGATCGTGACTTCCTATATTGCCTTTAACATTGTTGTATGGAATCTACTCCGAAGTAGAGATACCGATATCAAAGTGTATGATGGCATAATTTCATGTCAGCAGGTTAGAACATTTTTCTACTACGTCAATATTCTTTTATACAACATTGCTTTGATCGATTTTTTTTGTTATCCATTAACTACAAATGAGAGGATGTTGTATGATTACCAATGAGACAACTCTCCATCAAAGACCAAATGACGTAGAAGTTCACAACTATAGATCACCGTATGGCCTTCAAGAATGAGCAAAAACCATACCGATCAATAAAAGGCTCCGAAATGACAAATTTAAAATAATTCAAACGAGAAAACTATCGCCCTGATTTATTAACGAAACAATAAACGAATAATCAAATATGATAAACAACAAAAAAACAACAACCACTGACTTACTGGTTCCTGACTTGGGACAGGATCATACAAAGTTATACCGGTATTATAGAGTTAACATGCTCTTGTTTCTATTGAATGTTTTACAAACCAGTTTTTAATACAGCGGGCAGGGTATTGTTATGAAAAAAATGTTAACCCTGCAACATGCTAATGTGATTGCTCCAAGTCCGGATATTGTCTGTATTTGTCTTTTGTTATATTTTTCTCTCATTTAATATGTTATTTATTGATGATCTCTAATAGTCTCTGTGACAATTATTTTAACTTTAGTAGACAGAGGAGGATTTAAAGCTTGGCATTATATATATATAGATACTTGTCTATTATTGAAGAACTTTAGTTGATCTCTCAATGTTTGGCCATACTCTTGTGACATTTGGATATGCATTTGTGCTATGATTGTCGCGAACACTACAACCCCTTTAATTTAAAAAATGTTGTCAACCAAAGAGTCAAAAATAATGATGTCAGTTGTACGGAATCTGAGTTGATTTTATAAAAAAAATAGACAAATCCTTAAAATAGCTATACATGTGTACAAGTAAAATTGAGTTTAAATTGGAGATCTCTGACGGATTCTTAGGTATATTGATAATGTTTTTTTACTAATCCATGTGAACATGTGTCCATTAAAATCCATGTGAAAATGTATCCATTAAAATTTTCAAATGCATTTAGTACATCAATAAATAATTGAAAATGCAAGTTTTGTATTTGTTTCGTTTACATTTATAGCTACCTTTAAGGATTCTCTATGCTCTATTGATCTAAGCTAACCTGGAAAACAGAAATGTTTTAGTTCTACACACAATAAGGTTATCTATACATGCATAACTGTAATTTTCTTCCAAAAATAACCAATTTATAGAAATTGATTAAAACTAAACTGCCGATTAAAAACAGTCAGACAATGTAAGTAAAACCCAAAAACAATATTAATATTGTATACGTTTTAAAAGGTAAATTTCACATTGACACACACCCAGTATACATAACATTAAAGCACATTTTTTTTACTATTAATGTTTTTTTAATTTGAAATTTAAAAAAAGCTATTAACTTGCAAAAAATAGGAACTGTTTCACATGATTAAATATTGTATTAATGGCGACAGGAAAATGATGAAGCAAGTTCATGAAATAATCAAAACCCATCAGCAAGGCTCATTAGATATAGTATGTAAAATAATGATATACAGAATCTTCAGCTTAATAATGCATGGAAATAATTAAAAAGTTTTAGTGAGTTCCGGTTCGAAAATCGAGATTTTTACGAGAATGGACCAATAAATAATAATGGCAAATACTAGTAGTTGTAGATGTTGGATTTGTCATAAAACAGGTAAGCTCTTCATTCGGATTTTGCATTATTTGTCTTTTTAACGGAAGGAATTTTTATAAAGATATACGAAGAAAACTAACGAATATAATTCAAGAATAAAACAACTTCAAGCACTGACGTCATTTAGATGACACAATATACGGATATCCACCATGTTTGTTGATGTATAGATAGAAAATTTCAAATAAGAAAAATCATCTATTTTTGTCAATTCTATTGGTACGAATGTTTTAGTTCTTCAATGAATTTCTAAAATCATGCAAAATTTAAAACATTACAAATTGCATAGTTCTTTGACTGAAGATGATGTTTGGGTTTCAATGATCGACATTTGCAGTATTATGAACTCTCGCTTCTTTTACATGTGATGTATTCCATTCCTAGTCCATTTCAAATTACACTACTTGGACTTTTGAGCTGTAGTTTTTTTACACATGATTTCAAATGTTTTCACAAATGCGTTAGTTTTCTTCATATATGTTAACCAGTATATGATTTAGAACATCGAGCCCAAACATAATGTTATAGAGCGGAGATTTTATACCTTGTGTCTGAGCACTCTGTGTCATTTAATCTACGTATATTGAATGCATGTGATATATTATGTTATAAGTGATAACAGTAACTGACCATTAAAGTAAGAAGATTCATAACTACTTTATGCAAAGGGGATTGTGGAAGCATGATGGTTACTGGCAAACTTTTGTTGTGACGGCATAAGTTAAGGGTGGATGTAATCCTTAACTAGTTATTTGACACTACAATACTATAACAGCGATTTTCTCCTCAGAGGTAAATGTAACTGAAAGCCTTTGAGGAACGAACCAGCTGCGATTCTATATCAATAACACTTAGTTGAGAGGGTGATCGAGCAGATTGTTACCCCTCGAAAAGACATTGTCAACCTTGGCTTCGCCTCAGTTGACAATGTTTTCTCGGGGTAACAATCTGCTCTATCACCCTCTCAGATATGTGTTATTTAATTCATTATACTGAATGTTCTGTTATTACTGTCTATTAAATTTCAAATTCAAAGTAATAAACTATGTAGTCTTGTACATAACAATCATCCGTATTTATTAAAGCGCACACTTGAGCAAACGTTTCCGTGAAGGGTAATATAGTATTTGCCATGGGATAGAGTAAATTGTCTCCCTCGTATTAACCAATCAAAATCTGCCATTTTGACATGAAGTATAATAATTGTACATAGCTACCCAAACAAGGAAAGTCTCAAACTTTGCTGTTCAAACTTTCTGTTGTCTATATATCAATTTAAGATCATATATGAAGCTTCTCTTCTGTTTTCGAAGATGTTGTGAAATGTAGATTATCTTTGAAGAAGCAGGGTCCTTATCTCCGAAAATCGGTCCAGTAATTACCAAAAAGAGTTTTCATACAGATTAATACAAAAGGAGTGGTGCACGATTGGTGTTCGTTGGAATGCTATTTACCAAAATCAACACTGGAAAAAGTGTTTACATTTAATTCAATATTGTCAAGAGCCGTTTCAGATGGCTTCATATAATTCAATACTGAGAAGAGTGTTATCAGCTTGAACAATGGAGTCTGTATGTTGGAGTTAACTATACAGGGGCTACAAAGCACCGATAGTCTGGATGCTTATTGATCCTAATAGAAATCGAACAATTGCCAGTATCATGGTATTGCGGACTGGTCCAATCAGAGAAATCTTTAATCACCTTTTCCTCTTTTCCCCATTTTTTTTTGTTATAAACATTTACTGCACTATTATTTAAGCAAATAAGAAAATCTTACATCAGCGTCAGAACAGATGTATTGAATATGTGTGCTAAAACATCATCATTGTTATTAATGGGTAAGAATTATAGAAAAGAAAAAAAGAAGCTGTTCATTTATACGGCATCGGGTAGCTCCGTTGTTTATTCATGAACAAGTTTCCCTCGGTTTTGGTTTGTGACCCGGATTTGTTTTCGCTTAATCGATTTATGACTATTGAACAGCGGTATACTACTGTTGCCTTTATTCATAATATTTAAAAAGAATTACAAAACGTACCACCCGCATCCGATTACCCCGGGAAAATAGCCGCACAAACAAGGACAAACAACAACGAACAACAAAGTTCCAGATAGCATGATTTGGTACACTAGACATAATATGTGGTTGGATGAAACAGTTTTATACGTGCGCACAGCACTCTCCATTTTTGCATATCTAAACCAATAGGTATATTGTTTGAAGCAAATGGCAATATTTTTTTTAATATTTCCAAAAAGGCTTTTGAATATTTATAACAATGATGTAAAGTCAAAATGCCAATTACTGTGGATAAATTAACTAAGCTCAATAGGAAGTTGACATTACTTTCATTCGAGTCTAATTACTTAAACGGAATCAAACATATATTACTTCCTCGTCCTGATTTTGTTATTAAAATTAGTAAAGTAAGAAAATATGAGTGTTATGGACATTCGCGTACGTATATGAAAATACAGAATACATGTATCACAAAAGTTAAAGCCCATAAATCGTGCCTAAACCACCATGATCATTCTCTTTCATGGCAATACGATATGATTTAGGTTTTCTATATGAATTCTATTGCACCATTTTCTAATATTTTTTTTTTATAACTTCAAAACGGCTTAAGCGCAAAACATTAAACAAGATAAGAATTGCCATTGTATTTACAAAATTGTGACATTACGAAGAATGCCAGCGATACGTAAGCTTCATATTCAAAACTATAATTATTTTCATATTATTCGGAAATGATGTAAGTCTCCCAATACGCGGGAATAACAATTTCGTATAAAACAGAGCTTACATTGAACATGTTTAAAGACCATTTGGCTTTATTCCATAGTCATGTATCCATTTATAGTAATCCATATTCTTGTATTCGTGTATAGTAATGACATATTGAATCTTTCTCCGAATATCGGTTGAAGAACTTTAATTTAGACAAACATATTGATGCGAGTGCAGTTTGATTATTGTTCTGCTAATTGATACGTCTTACTTATTAATCCGAATTTGCAGAAATTAAAAGTAATGATGTGATTTCCGAGTATTATCACTCAATACTAATACTACTAATACAATTCAACGCCTCTAATTGTACTAACTTACCAAATATCCTCTGATACTCTCTGGTAATATATAATTCGTTTGCTATATTCCCGCCAATACGCCAACTCTCGTTACCTGGTAACTATTCGAGATCTTATCCTGAGTTAGGTAGTTTACAATGGATCATTCCGGGAACCGGGCTACGCGGTATATCTAACTACCGTACTGTCTACATAGTAATGTCACGTCCATTATACCATATTACACAACACTCCCCCCCACTTTGAAAGGAGTGAGTTTACTTTCTATTCGAATATTCACTATCTTCATTTAGTCCACCCCGTCTGTTCGCACCACGGGGATACAAATAAATCTCCAAATATATCCAACGTTGACATTTCAACGACACACATATATTTTTCAAAATTCAACAATTGTTCCGTCTTCGCTCTGCGGAGTTATTTTAAAACTAACATATCATTCCTTGATATATATATAACACACAATCTTCACTGTAATGTCCAATCAAAATTTACAACTGATTTCCTTCTGCTCTATATGTACATCATAGTATCCTGTCTTATATTTTAAATTACCTTGCGGTACTAGAGTCCTGGCACCGTGGACATCTGAACTTTACCATAGTGTCAGCCAGCTCTGGTGTCACATCTATACAAGCTCCATGGTACCACTCATCGCAAAAATCACACTGTATCATAAACAGTCCATCATCTGGTTTTCTGCACAAACAGTGTAAGTCTGGGTTAGTCGCCTTGGTTACATCTTCACCGCCTTGTAACCGGTGCTGGCACTGTTTTAACCAGGGTGGTACTTCTCTGTCTTTACATGGCTTTAAACGGTCATGATTTATTGTCAGTACAGTTTTTTGCAATTTTATCTTGTACACATACGAAGATAATTTGGCACATACAAGTCCTGGACCTTTCCAAGGTGGGTCCAATTTCTTCGCTCTACCTTTAATTTTTGCCGTGTCTAAAACATAAACTAAATCTCCTATTTTGTATTCTCTCTCCAGGATACGTACATCATAATCACGTTTCATGGTATTCTGTGTAGTTTTTAGCGTGTTGCGCGCTATTTCATGTGCAGATGTTATGGCATCTCGGAGTCTTATTACATACTCATCTTGTGACTCGTCTGTTTTAGCACCAGGTACGCTGTACAATAAATCAACAGGCTGGTTAACCTCTCTCCCAAGCATCAGCATGTTTGGCGTAAAACCAGTACTTCTGTTAACTGACGATCGAACAGCTCCTGCCAACTGTGCCAAATGTTCATCCCAATTGTTCTGTTGTTTAGAAACGAAGCAACGGACGGCGTCCATTAAGGTTCTGTTGCAACGTTCTGCTTGTCCGTTTGAGGATGGTCTGTACGGAGTAGTTCTTGCTTTGTGCATTTGCAAGATTTCACAGATGGATTTGAAAAGCTTGCTTTCAAAATTGCGTCCTTGGTCTGTAAAAACCTGAAATGGGAATCCAAAACGAGAGAAAAACTCGTTCACAGCAGCTCTTGCCGTATGTTCTGCAGTTTGTGCTGGTAGCGGAATACATTCCATCCATTTGGAAAACTGATCAACCATAACTAGTACATGTGCATTCCCAAATTTCGTCTCTGGCAGTGGTCCTAGAAAATCTAAGTGGACACGCTCCATTGGTGCACCTGCATGAAACTGGGTGAGCGGACATTTAGCCTTCCTGTTTGGCTTCTTGTGTAAATTGCATGTACTACATGTTTTGACAAAGTCTCTTATTCGTTGTGTCATACCATACCATTGATATTTCGCCTTGATTCTTAATGTGGTCCTATTCATACCTTGGTGACCTGCAGCAGGAATATCATGACATAATGATATCACTTGTTCAACAAGATCTCTTGGTACCACAAGTCTTGGTGTTCTGTCTTTCTTGTCCAAATTTCTCAAT